GCGAAGTTATGTCTGTTTGAAGATGTAGCGTAGATTGTCTATTATCGTAGAAACGATAATAATCGAGGCTAAATCTTGATTTTCCATTTTATCGTTAAATTTCAAAATCTCGCGGGTGCTTTAATCCATTTTCAAGTTGATAATAGATTTGTCATATATATAAATGTCTGGATAATAATATTTGAGGCCAACATAAAGAGGCCGATTTAGCTTTTACATAACGCATCTTTAACTAAATAAAAAATGACAAGACCTAGCTAGGTTATTAAGCTTATATTACTTGGATCATCCGAAAGTACTGTCATCTTTGGTGCCTCGAACAGCTCACGTCATATGAAACGCTGTGAACTATTTGAGGACATATAAGTTCCGTGACTCGGGCAGCTGGATGAGGTCGTGCAGTAGGAGTTTCGGGCCGTTTCGAAAATGAGTTATAAATTCGGTTCATGGAACCGAGGTTGCCATGGACGTGATGAATTAACAAATTCAATTAATTTTAATATTTTGCGATTAATTTGAAAAAATATAAAAAAAACACCACAAAACGATTTATAATTATACCTACCAGTTCTTACTGACCATTCACAGATAAATTTAAATGGCAGGCCACAATCTTCGTCTGACAAGTAATTATCTTGATCAACCCGTACACAATCTTCTTTGTTGGAGCTATGCATATTAGGTTCCGAATTCTTCCAGTTCATTTCAGTTGATAGCATGCCGATCCCATCGTTATCTCTGTAACTTCCTTCAACTGTACGATCATTGACTCCTATCCATCCTTCAATACTATATGATACAAGCAACGTGTTATATTATGGATGATGATGATGTTGGTGATAAAGATGAGGAGGGGGAGGGGAATGAGGAGCGGGAAGACGAGGGCTGGATGCTGTTGTGGATGTTAATGTTAATGGTGTTGCTGATGATGATGATGATTGGGGTTGTGCTACTAATGGTGGTTGTTGTGATGATGAAGACGACGACAACCATGATGGTGATGACGATGATGATAATTAGCTAAACAAATGCTTCATATTACCTTTGTGATTTAAGGAACTGTCTGTCAGATTCTGTACGTATTATAGCCAAGTCAGCACCTAGAGATTGGCAGATGTGTTTGGCTGCCAACCAATCTGTGGTATTATCAAATGGTTTGTAACAACTACCGGTTTCGTTGTTGTATAAATGATGACAACAGCCTAGGAATGAAATAATACGTCACAAAAAATCCTACAGATTGCGAAAAATACACATACACCCACATATATATTTTTATAAAAATGGTGTGCGCTTAAGCATCTTTAGCGATGAAGGGAAATCGGATGACCCGCAGAAAACTCACAAGGTCAGATGACGTCGACCCTTCTCTGTGTCTGTGTCACGTACATGTCCTAATATCATGACAAGCAAAATTCAGGCTTGCGAAAACGAATGGCGCAAAGAAAATGCGAGGCTGTGCGCGTATCTAACAAAATTAATATAATTAAGAGAATAAATTAAAGCTATTTGTTAACGGGAATGAATTCAGGTTTAGCGTTCACTTGTTTCAGTAATTCGCTTCTGTGCAGGAGTAACCGCAGTACAAGCAGAAAACTGGCGTGTTTAGGCAGGCGACGATACGTGTTGTCACTTACACACTCGAGATCGATCCCATGGTTTGCAGAGATAGCAGTGTGATATGCGTCTCACATGTTAACCAGAGTTTGCGTAGATAACACGCCTAATGATCTAAGTCACACACGGTAGACCGCATGACCACCCAGCCATTCCAAATCGTTAATGGTAAAAAAAAACGCATGAATTACATAGATAAGGTGTCCAATGATCTAAGCCATACATGATAGACCGCTTGGCCACCCAGCCCCATTAAGTGTTAGTTATTATAAACCCATGATTTACTTAGATAACAAGCATTGTGATCCGCGTCTCACACGATAGACCGCGTGGCCACCCAACCAACCGCCTCAAATTTGCATAGACAAGAAGTCCTACGGCCGAAGTTGCACCCAACGCCCCTCAAATTACTACTAATTAAAAAAATATACATACCTTCTACATTGTTTATTAACCCAATAAAACATGAAAACCTGAAGACATTCCATTTTGTTTTATTATCCGCCATTATATTTCTAGATACTTTACTAACATACGTGTTACTATCAGGATGAACCAGAACAAAAAGATTATGGCGTGAAAATCAGATGTCCAATTATCTATAGGTAACTGAACAAATATTCGGTACATTAACAAGCAATTGAAAAATCGTACAAATTTGTTTTTCACAATGATTTTAGTCTTTTCATTGGCTATCTGTTAATACAAGGCAGGTAGGTTGGTTGATTATAAAGTCGTCATTAAGTCAAGTGGCGTGGTTTCCAGGCCCGTAGCTAGCGGAGGGGGGGGCAAGCGGGGCAGGTGCCCCCCCCCCTCCCAGGACGCCGCCCCGACCTTTCCATTCGATGCAATATACGAAACCAACGACCAACGTGCCCATATCGTGAATTTTCTCCGGTTTCCCGCCACGGCTAAAAGATCCTTACGCGTAGGCAAGTCGCAACCACTGACTGACGGTAAAGCAGTATTCTAGTCGTTTTTTTCTAGTCACCCCAACACTTCACTGAACTTTTAAAGCCCCATTCTGGCTAAATCAAAGAGATTTAGTACCTTTAATTTAAAATAATATATACGCACACATATATATATATATATATATATTTAAACATGCATTATGCAAGAGCTAAATCTGATTATTGCAAGTCTTAATTTAGGCTTCAGATGTTATAGAAATTATAAATTAGATCTTTATTTAAACAACAAGACCAAAATCAACGCCGGATTAACCATGGTGGGGGCCCTGGGGCCTGGAATATGTGGGGGGGGGGGGGCTTATCACCGACCGAGGAGCTGTGCCGGTTACCTCGAGCACTGACGGCGCGAAGCCCCGCAAGGGTGGTCTGGGGGGATTTTTCCCCCATGAAATTTTCAGAAATTGGAGGCATTTCAGGCACTTGTGTCGGAGCCATTTAGAAGTGCCACAAAATTAGCGCATTCTGGCGTTATTTCAGTGGACCAATCCATGCGAGTGCTATGAAATGATGGCATTTCTAGAAGAGGGGGCTGGAGCCCATTGAGCCCGTTAAATCCGCCACTGTAAGTGAGCAGAGCAACATCAAACCTAATTTTGAAGTCGCTCAGTGATAAATAACGGGGTCACTTGATTCAGAATCGTATTATATCCCCCACGATGATTTGATGAATGGAGATCGTAACGTTACGACCAAGCCGGACTCGATTTTTGACGAACTTCGAAAATATGAGGCGGCATCACCGGATTACACCGAATTCTCGCGACACACCATGGATTGAGGCGGATTCCAGGGACTTCCGATGGAGGGCCCTCGGAGCATCGGAAGTCCCTGGGGCCCCGTCACTAGGTCACCGGCAAATGGAGTCTTCGCGCCGACCATGCTCGAGGCGCGCAACTGAGATTTTTGTGGGGGGCCCTGGAGCCTGGGCCCCATGGTGCCCCGTGGTTAATCCGGCGTTGTTAAGACAAAATAAACATTTTACCATTGGATCTGTGTACCATACTGCGTTTCAGCATCATTTGTAACAAGGGACAAGAAAGAACGAGACCTGACATATTTTTACAACTCATGTCAAACAGTGACGCCATATCTTATCGCCATATCCAAATATTAGAGATTTAGCTCCTTTAATAATGCCAAGTTAATAGACGTCAAACATCCATCGAATCGTAACAAAGATTATTTGAATAAATCTTAAATCATTCGTATTTTAATCGGTTTTTCTTTCGGATTCAATATCCACAGAGTAGCTGACAAATACTTTTATCTTTTGTCTTAAATCTGCTTCCGGTTTCGGGCGGAAATCAATTCAACATGTTTTAAAGACCGTGTCGTATAAAACTGTTCTTTGGAACCTTAAAAAAACGACATCGGGTCATTTGTGTAAATGAATATATATAAAGTGATTTACATTCTTCTTTTTGTAATTTGAAATTTGTAATCAATATTTACGTGAATAGTCCAAATTGTGACGACACTCGTTTGCGCTTGTTTAGTGCATTCTGCAGATCTTTTTAAAATTATGTTGTAGTTTGTGAATCAACCATTTTTAATTACTGGATATGTTTTGCTTTGTAAATTACAAATGGCGTTCGGAACCATAGAGTATTGTACTTATTTTAAAATGTCCATTGTGCCTTTAATATTGGATATTAAGACCCCATATTTTCACAGTGAGGTAACAACATCAATATTGATTGAAATGGATCAACTCTAATTCGTGTTTTAAATTTTGAATATTATAGATGATATTGTGTTAGATGACTGGTCCCATTAGTATTGTTTATATTGCCTGCCATGTACAGAACGCGTCGTATTTACACATCACTTATACACCTCTTCAAACTGTTAGGAAATGAAATGGGGTTTAACTTCCCACATGTCTGCACTGACTGGGCTAATGAGGACGGACATACGTCATAGTGTGCTATGAAGGAAGGTTTGTCCGAACAGCGGCACTACGACTACTCTTATATAGCCCCCTCCCCGCCCAGCAGGAACATTGTCTAGGCGTTCGGACACGACAGTCCTTGCTTTACTAACTGAGCTACATATACCAGTATGCCCATCATATATATGTATACTTATATAAAAAAACAATGAAATGAAATGGGGTTTAACGTCCTGCTGTTCTGCTCCTATACTGGGCTAATGAAGACGGGCATACGCCATACAGTGTGCTATGAGGGAAATTTTGCCCGGGCAACGGCACTATCGCCTACTCTTATATCGAATTCCAACTGCCAAGGGATCTTTTACGTGCATTCCAATGTGTACACGGGACCTAGGTTTTTCGTATCATCCGAAGGACTAGACAGCTGTCCTTGTCAGGCCCCCCGTCCTGCATTATATAAAAACAACAGCAAATCAGACATGTATATATTAAATAAAAACAAACAATCAGATATATCTAGTTGTGATATAGTCAAATGGTTTATTCACGTAGGTTGGCGTTTCTTGTCTAATAAAAATGACGGAAACTTAAGGCGCGAGATTTTAAATTATATATTTAAGAGTGTGTTTCGTTGAATCGAAATTAAGTCTAAATCCATTTTAAATTTAATCTTTGTTAACGCTGGGACCGTTGTGGTTCTACAGATTAAGTTCACCGAAGAACTGCCATGGATTCAGCGCTGAAATCAATGATTGGAGAATTTCTAGTCTTAATCCATAACCGTTGTACGAGTTATTCCCCCCCCCCCTCCCCGCCACTCGATCATGCCATTATAAAATATTCGATAAAAATTGTCTCGTGTTTATAAAATTCATACATATAAAGAAGTAATAGTGCATATTAGAAAATATATTTATAATTGAATAAAATGTTGTTATATTACATAAAACATAACAATCTTTCGTCACCCAATTCTCACGGTTAAACAAAATAGAAACATTTATTTCTATGACAACAAAAGAAAACAAAGATATGTCTCCCTGGTAAAAAAATAGTACAAATATTTCTATCCATTCCAACAAAAGAGTATATATATATATCCATGGCAACAAAATGATACACATTACACATATATATCCATGGCAACAAACGAATACACAGATATATATCCATGGCAACATATAGAAATATATAAATAAAGTATTCCAAGTATAAAAACAATAGGTTAACAGTTAAATTTTATACAATGAATTATTCATATTATTTGATATGGATTTCAAACACAAATGGTTATACACAAAATCTTGGGTGTCATTGATAAATGATCTAATATATACTTCCTTCGTGTTCCATGTACGCGTTTCCACAGCCGTTTTCGCCTGTTACATCGAAACGGTCTCATTACAGTTGCATTAGACGAACTTGTTTGCTAATGAAAACGCGTACATGGAAAATAGACCTCAGCATGTTCGACTATCCAATTCAGATATCCTGATTGTTGGTTTTGTTTTTAAAATCAGTTCAAAAAAAGTTCATTTCCATACATGTTTTTACAAATATTATGTGACCGACATATACTATACAGCGCCACCTATATGTATTGGTTAATATCTATTGATAAGACTTTTGAAAAGAGATTGAATAAAATCCATCAAATTATCCCTCGTTGATTTTCTTATGAGATAAATGTTAAATTGCCAATCAGAGATCATTTTAATTTGGATCAAGTCGTGGAATATTGAATATTGTCCGAAAAATGCAAATGGCGATCAGCAACCGTAAATAAAGTCAAGATATTACTGAGGTAATGTAATAAGGGGCGTTTATAATTATTACAAAAATGGACATTTTGCACATGATGTAATAGAGGGCGTGTATAACTATTACAAATATTTATTTACGTGATGTAATATGAAAATTATGATTAAAGATTGAGCAAGTGTATGACTGACGCCGCTGCCTACAGGATCCTCTTTAGATTTGTCACAATGTTTCTTATTCGGTCCAACACAGGAAGCGTAGGCCATGACGTGGGCTATATAATTCTGATCGTGGACACCATGGAATAGATGTGACATAGGACCAATAGCGAATATCCCGACATCTTCTGCTGAATGAGTTTCAGAACTCATATGTACAGCTGCCTGAAACACATATTCTGGGTCGGCTGTCAAAAAATAAATAAATAAATAAATAAATAAACATAACACTTAAAAGTTACATCAAATGGGATCGAGATCTATTTCAAGCCAGGTTATTAGCATACATCTCACGCCAGGCCATTAGCATATGTCTGAAGCCAGGTCATTAACATCAAACCAGGTCCCAGTTGGGGCGTTATAAAGTTATATGTATGTATATCATCCTGTCTGGCATGTAGGTTACTTTGTTTAACATCCTACTTCTCTGCACCACCTGGGCTAATGAAGATGGACATACGCCATGCAGTGTGCTATGAGCGCAGTTTGTGCCCATACAGCGGCACTACGATCTACTTCTGTATCGAATTCCAAACGTGTACACGGGAACTTCTTGTCCTATCCGAACGACTAGACATCGTGCCTTGTCCTGCACCACACCGGAAAATCCCGAGGAACTCTTTCAGTTAACTCCATGAGCGAACCCGAGACCTTCCTGAAAAGCGTGCCAACCTCTTACTAACAGAGCCACCTCGACTCCCAAACAGCCTATTGAATTAAATACGAATATTGGCCTGTTAGTTTGAAAACAATAACGTACTTGTATCAACACCAGTTAAATTCTGTCGACCAGGATGGCCATCTGTTCCGTTAACCAAGGCACCACCAGGACCGTTACCATAGATCAATGAAGTATAAGGGACATTATCTTTAGGTTCACCATCAGCTACAGGGTGCACCAAACCTAAAAGGTAAAAATAAAAACTTAGCTTTAAATTCAAAATATAAGCCTATTAGAGTATCAAGCATAATAGCATAATACTAATAGTCATAATACAAGTATACATAAACTTAACACAATAGTCAAAATACAAGTATACAAACCTAGCACAATAGTCAAAATACGAGTAGAGATATACAATTCAATGTGCCACACACACACAATAAAAGCTGTGTATAAACAAATTAGTAGAAAACAAAAGTTTCACATCTATCGACATGATCGTGATAATATCGTAAACATATCGTGACGATATCGTGACAATATCGTACATATATTATTACATTTGGTGCGAATCATTTAAAGCATTAGTCGTTTTTACTAATAATACTAGGTTCCCACTGTCGTGCGATGCGTTACGATCTAGAATTGTCCTAATTGAGTCCACGATCTGGTACGTGCAGATCCATTTGATACGAAGAAAACGATTGCTACGACTGACCTCAATATAGGCTAAGATAAGACCTGATAGGAACACCACGATTTCTCCACGATTTCAATCGTAGTACGAATCGTGATAGTAGGATTAGTGGATAAAACCAGGGGTCTACTGGTTACTGAGTCCACACCTTAGTCACTGAGCCACCGTGCCTTCCTATTTTAGTTGGGATGTTGCATGAACGAATTACAAATACTGCCATATCTGTCTCTACAATAAACAATAATATCGACAGAAGCCGATCTATCAGTAGAAGTTGTCCAAAGGCGTTTTTTGATAAAGACGTTTCTTACCTAATATATCGTTTCCGGTCTCTGGATAACCAGCCATACTAAATACATGAGAGTGATCGGCCGTGACAACTAGCAGTGTTTCTTCTGGACCCAGTTCTTTCATGGCAACGTTTACAGCATCGTCAAACGCTATTGTATCATGTAAGGCTTTCCTAGCTTTGCTAGCATGATGACCATGATCGATGCGAGCACCTGTAGAGGAAATATATAAGACGTAGACAGTTAGAGAGAGAGAGAGAGAGAGAGAGAGAGAGAGAGGGAGAGAGAGAGAGAGAGTATTAACAATGTGGAAATGATGTGGATTTAACGATGCAATCGTGGGGGGGGGGGGTCACTAGTCTGACTACATACATTAATTGGTTGAATTACCAGAATAAACTATGTTCTAATAGAGACATTTTAAACAAAGCCAGTGTGTCACAATGTGTAATGCTCACCAGAAAATAAACACCCAGCCCGAACCCGTTCTTTTGTTTTATTCAAATCCTTTACTCACCTTCAACCAATAAAAAGAAACCATTGTCGTTTTTCTTCAGTATATCGATGGCGATTTTGGTCATTTCAGGAAGCGAGGGTTGATCGAGCGAATTGTTCAATTCACGATCTAGATCATATTCCATATGTGATTCAGCAAATAAACCTATAGAAATATCAAAACTTAATAAACGTAAAACAGATGATCGCTTTAAAATATCAAAACCTATTCTAGATACTAAAATACCATCTTTGACAGTAATCAATTACTATACTTCGGTTATTTTGAGAGACACATTGGGTAATGTGCAATACACATGGTTATGTGTTCGATTCGAGGTAGATATTGTTATGACTAGGAAGCAGCGGTGGCTCAATGATTAAGCTATGACCGAATTAAGACCAACATAGGCCCTAAGCACTCAAAAGATTTTGGAGCAACCATATATAGGTAATTCAAAATATAATAAACCACAAACAACCACCAACCACGTGATTAGAGTTTCTCTCGGATTTCATATACATCATTATTAATTGTGACAAAACAGGTAACAGTATGAAAAGAAAAAAAACCTTCAAAAAACAATGAAAAACTAATTGAAAATCCTTGATTATTTTTTAAATTAAATATTCTAAATTTGGCATCTAACAAAAGCAGACATGCTGTGGTTCAAAACAGTAGGACGTTAAACCCATTTCAATTCGAGGTAGGTACTGTTCTGACATTAAGTCCAATTCACTTCTCACTAACAATATATCTAAAGAAAGTCGTGAAAAATTATTTCGATTTGGCTATATGAGTGATTTGGGAATGGGTTTAACGTCCCCGGTTCCAGAACCCACGGGGCTACAGAAGTCGGATATATGACTTGAAAGGAATTGTGTAAGACTAATAACTGCCAATAACTTCCTAGTTTCCAGAACCAACTACCAATTAGCGTCCTACTTTCCAGAACACACTCCCAATACCTTCCTACTTTTCAGAACCAACTGGGCATAACCTTGGGGGGAATTGTGCCTGAACAGTGGCGTTTCCACCTAATTCCAACTTCAAATAGTTCTTTTACATGCACGGCAACGGTTTTTCGCCCCACCCGAACGACCATAAACTTTATTTCATATATTCTCTTGTCTTGGTCGAAGGGATAATTCCTCTTGAAACTTCATTATAAATATTGTTACCCAGTAAAAAATCCGTTTTAGTTACATCGACGGCATCAAGTTCGCTTTTAGTCGTGACGTAACTTCCTTTACCCTTAGTACTTTTATCTGTTTCCCAGATCTGTAAATATAAATAACCAAATACAAATCATGTCACCACTTCGCTCGGTGTCTGTCAAAAAATATGTTCCTGGGCGTATAAAGAGAGAGAGAGAGAGAGAGAGAGAGAGAGAGAGATGGGATTTAACTTTTCAAGATATACGGGTGGTAATGCAGGGCAGCTCGATTCGAGAGATGTTGTGATGGCTATGTTGGATGTCACGTGATCGTCTATCGCCAATGAATGATGACCATATCCGATTAAAGTGGCTCCCTCATGAGCGCTTACGATTAACGGCCTTGAATTACCACCCAGTTATCTTGATGTACAGTAAGATATTACATTAGTGTAGCATATTTCTGAACAAAAATGTATTGCTATCAATGTTGAGAAGTATGGTTCGGAAGGGGCAGTGGTGTTTCCCGAATGATCTTGCGAAGGGTTACGATGGGATTTAGTATTGGGCAAGAAAAAGAAATATCTCAGGAACTAAATTCCAAATAGAAATAAGACCCCTACATACCTGTGTAAGATTAAGACTATCATTACGCTGACCAACAGGTATTGTAAAGAAATTCCTTCTACCACCTCCCAAAATCACCTGAATAAAAACAAAACATAGATGATTTGACACATGACAAAATATCTCGAAGCATAGCAGATAAAATAACTATAGGAAATGAGATAAATTTTGCCTGCAGTGTGACATTTCTAATATTTCAATATTAACTACCAATGGTTCTATTACGTACACAATATTGTGTAGACAGGACATCGGTTTATCGTCCCATTCTTAATTGTCAGATCCCCCGTCCTGCACCGTAAAACTACTCTGAAAAGTACGGACTGATCTCCGGGCCTCCTGGCTAATAAGCTTTGTTCACAGTCCAGCAAGTCTGAATTTTCGATATTTTACTTCCATTCAAACACCTCCAAGGTTCGGCGGAGATGTATTCACGCGCTAGGATCTTGTGAAAAACATACATGTAACAGTCCTCAACCTTACCCTAACCCATCATCGACGTGACATTGGGGGAAATCTGCAGGTGTGCATGTAACATAGATCTAGTCAAGTAATATCCGAGTACTAACCTCAATATCCGGGTTGTCCATTATCAGTTGTTTAGCAATATCGGTACAGTTACCTTCTACGTCATTTAGATTAGCATCGTTTTCCCAGTCTCTTTCAGCACTATGAGCGTAGGCTGCAGCTGGTGTTGCGTGGGTGATTCTCGACGTCGTCACTACTCCAACAGATTTACCTACAAAATACACACAAAGGGCGATAACTCTCTGTACACCACTGCAAATTACACAGCTGAGGATATCAATATAAATGAAATGAAATGGGGTTTAACGTCCTACTAATATCAATATATGACATTAGTCGCGATTTAATGTGCATCAAAGCCCGTGATGTTTCAAACCAGGTTTCCTCTCGACGTTAGCTTTGTCATGTCGTTCTGATGAGACGAAAAACCATAGCATACAAATGTATACATGGTGTGCACTTTAAAGAACATTTGTGTGCGTTTTGCATTCCAACCACCACGGGATGTTTATCTGCACACCGATGTGTTGTGTACACAGGGCCTCCGTTTTTTTTAACCCTATCTGTTACCCAAATTCGACAAACTTTGTCGCCTTACTAAGTTAGAGAATGCATATAATTTTTATAAAGACGGGATGATGACTTATTCTTCCAGCGTTCGCATTTATCAACAAAATGAAACAAGGCCCAAAACTTGAGAAGTAATTATTGGACTCAGACATAATTAACGAAAATTTCTGAAATTCAATAGGCTTTTGCGTTTCACTTATTTAAATAATGCATTATAAATATCATACGGATCGAATGATAACTTTAGTTGTTAGATCGCGCACTGGGTTCGACAAAGTGAAACAAGGGCCATAACTCTAGAAATATTAACGGAAATTGATGAAATTGAATAGACTTCTTCGTTTTTTCAAATTTAAAGGATGCACATAAATTATAAATTTCATACAGATCGGACGATAATTTTTGTCGTTAGTGCGTTCACAAGGTGCAATAAAGTAAAACAAGGGCCATAACAGCAGAAAAATTTAACGGAAATTATTGAAAGTAAAAGGGCTTCTTCGTCTCACAAATGTAAACAACATTATATCAATTTCAAAACAATCACACAATAAATATAGTCTGTAGAATGTTCACAAGAAATTGTGGACGACGGTGTATCAAAATGGGAAACATGAATATCACAATAATTACGCGAGTAAGGATAAAAAACAAACCTTCGGCCTTGGACCAATGTAAAATAGACATAACTTCATTTCCTTTTTCTAATGTACAGTTCTTTCTAGCCACGTTACCGTTAACCCCTAGAGTTCCTGCATTAGCTTTCACGCCACATAAAAAAGCTGTTCCGGTACCGGCGGAATCGGGTGTTTGTGCGTCCAAGTTATATGTCTGAAAATATAAAAAGGACGCTTTAAAAGAGAACAACTTAAATGTATCTGAAAGGATAATTTCTAATCACAATTTTTCAAACTCCAGAAAACAGAGAGAGAGAGAGAGAGAGAGAGAGAGAAAAAGAGCGAGAGAGAGAGGGGTTAACATCCACTCGACACGAACTAGGTCATTTCGGGACTAACATCCACTCGACACGAACTAGGTCATTTCGGGACTAACATGGTTCATTTTATTTCAATAATTCGCTTGTGCGCTGGGGTCTTTAGCAGTGGGAGGAAACCGGAGGACCCGGAGAAAGCCCACGAGGTAGGACAGGCAACTCTACTCCTTGTTATGTATAACCGGTGAATCGAAACCACGCCAGCTGACTCATGACAGACTTTAGGATGCAACGCGCATGCGCTAACCATTCGCCCCGCCCCTCCAGAAAAAACCTTTTTGATATTTTGATTGTGATCTGTTATTGTCTCATTGGAATTTACCCGGATGTCCTCTGTCATTTTTAACGCGTGGGCTGGGTTTTCTCCGGCTCCTCCGGTTTCCTTCCACAGCTAAAAGCCCCCACGCGCAAGCGAATTATTGATTTATTGAAATAAAATTGAACCATACGATTAGTCCCCAAATAAACTAATTTGTGTTGAGTGGGCGTTAAACCCCATTTTTCCCCTCTTTCGACGACGACCATAGTGTCACGGTGAACAAACCAGAACAACTGTGACGTCATCCACTATTTTACATAAGAATGGTTTTCTGTCATTCTACCGCATCTTATTTTATATTCTGTGATTTGTATGTTTAAGGTGGGTTGGATGGCCGAATGGTTAGCACGCGTGCGCTGTATCATACGGTCTGTCATTGAGTCAACTGGCGGGGTTTCGATTCCCCGGTTGTACGTGACAAGGAGTAGGGTCGCCTGTCCAACCTCGTGGGTTTTCTCCGGGTCCTCCGGTTTCCTCCCACAGCTAAAGACCCCTAGGCGCAAGCGAATTACTGAAATAAAATTAAACCATATGTTAGTCCCGAAATGACCTAGTTTGTGTCGAGTGTACGTTAAACCCCATTTCTTTCTCTTTCTTTGTATGTTTAATGGCGCATTAATATCTTTACGAATGCAAATTTCTTCAGTAGAAACATATTATAAATTTAAACACGTTTGGCCTATGTTGTAAGTCATATGAAAAGTAGGACGAGTTCGGCCTGAACAAAATGTGTACAATTTGAGAGTATACAACTGTGTATTATTATTTTTACATAAAGTAGAACTGTATAATACTATATTATTTATAAAACATGATGATACTAATCCTTATAAGGCGCCTAGAAATAGATTTCACTAAAATTAAAACACCACTTCTGAATTTTATTAATAGTCTACCTTTCAATAGACATACAGGTTATGTTAATAAAATTATGATGATACTAGTTTCAAAATCCGGGTTCAAGGTTTATGCATTCGCACACAGAGAACTACCTATTTCGAGAATAGATCTCTGCCCTGAATGGCCGCCATATCGAAAAATTGGTATACTATTTTCTAATGCGGCTCTACTCCTTTTCACATCTGTCATATACACAAAGACTAAATAAACCTTTCCAATTTTTATAATTATGTGAAAAAAATACTTCTCAAAATTTACTAAGTATAGTTAGTGTTTTCGACTAATACCGTTGATTTAGTACTTAAAGGGGAAGACCAACGATTTTCAACAAGGTTTTCCCCCTGTAACATATGCAAAAATGTTTTTGAAAGCAAGAAATTACTTTTTATTAAAACCGGAAGTGGCGTAGTTAGTTCAACAGGCTTACTGGTCTTTATAGTAAACATACAAATTTGGAGTAAGTTTAGCCTGTGTTGTTTGATCGTTTCGCCGTTTGACAGAACATCTGATGAAAGAGATGTTTATTAGGATATTAAAAACACGAACTTGCAACTTTTTAAAGGTTTAATACACAAAGCCTTTGCGTAAATTAAATTTCTAAACTGGATACTGTGACCCAATTTAAGCCATAAAGTTATTTTTTTATATCACGTGATAGCTGGCACGTGACATATATTACATCACGTGATAGCTGGCACATGTCTGCATCGCTGTTTAGTAGCTGACTTTGTATTTTGTTTTTTACATTATTCAACGTAAACAGACCAATATTAGCGGCTTGTGGATATTGATATGTTATTAAATCTTGTTGAAAATCGTTGTTCTTCCAGGGGAGGGTTTCCAGGAATTTTTGCAGGAGGGGGTTTGCCAGGTGCCTGAGAAAATGTATCCCTCCCCCATCGGAGAAATACATGGTCTCTATCGTCATTTTGGCGTAAATACATACACATTGATTTTTTTAAACAGATAAATCCAACACCTCGTTTCATTATGAATTAATACGATGACATTGTGATTCAATTTTATTGATGCAAAGCATTAATTGTGATATCATGTCTATATCATTATCTCGCACCATCTGACGATAAAGGATAAAGCACAATTATGACACTTTTCTCATAAAAAGGTTGTTTTACAAATTTTTTTAAGTAGCTGAGGGGGGGGGGGGGTTCTCTGGATCCGCGCCTGTCTTCCCCTTTAAAATGTCGGTCATCAAGCTTTGTGTCTGTTCTTTTGCGGAGCTAATTGTAGACAGAGATCATTAGTTGAGTACGAGGTTTATGGCGCGTATTTTATTGGGTTGTTTTTTTTGTTGGTTTTTTTTTGTTGTTGTTGTTGTTTTTTTTAAATCAGTAAATTTCTGACAGGAATTTAAATTGATGTGATTGAATGTTAGATAAATTTGACAAAAAGCACTAGTAGAGTAGAATGGAAAGATATAACAATGGGGATAACGAGGATGTGTGAATAGACGATTGAAGTTTTGATAATTTTGGTTGAAAGCGAAATGATCTGTGAATACTCTATATTACGGTAGTTGCCAATATTTTGAGCAGTACACAATTGTTTGTATGTTTTTAGGAATAACGATAAAACATAAAATGGGGATGGTCTGTTTTCCCTTGCGCCAACGTTGTTCAGGATGACGGACATACGCTTGTGCTGTGAGGGGACTTTTGACTACCAAGGGTTCTTGTACGTCAACGAGTAGATCGGTTGTTCGTCCCATTCCAACCCCTATACGCTTTGCCTTGCAAGGAACCTTCTCGATCAACAGCTGTACCCAATTCCAGCTACCAAGGGTTCTTGTACGTCAACGAGTAGATCGGTTGTTCGTCCCATTCCAACCCCTATACGCTTTGCCTTGCAAGGAACCTTCTCGATCAACAACTGTACTCAATTCCAGCTACCAAGGGTTCTTGTACGTCAACGAGTAGATCGGTTGTTCGTCCCATTCCAACCCCTATACGCTTTGCCTTGCAAGGAACCTTCTCGACCAACAGCTGTACCCAATATTGCCCCGCTGACTCCTTTAAAATTAACGGATATCACGTTAAGTGGCCATTAGAATCAAAGCACAACGACGACAGGTTGTTTAAAAACCAATTCTCTTATCGGGTAGTTCACAGAAATAAAAAAAGTTCATGTTCTTGATGTTCTCTTTAAATGATAACATACCTTAGATAGAGCAACATGAGGAAAATGTTCGAAAGCCAGAGTAGACATCCCTTCTGTGATATTATATTTCTGAGCTTTATATAGTCTGGCTGCCGAAACTGTGGATACACCCATACCATCTCCTAGGAACAGGATGACGTTCTTGGCTATCATAATATTCGGTTTTAGATTTAAGGCATCTGTCAATTCTTTCTGGGCTTGATCGTTCCATTTTTTGCCATCTGAAATTAATATAGTCACGGTTCCAGATCTCCATAGATACACAAATACACTAAGTCAGGACACTCTTTTGAGGAGGGAAGGGGTTGGGGGCACTCGTTCTGTTTTGCAGCTTGGTAGCATTTTGTTTTATATGCTATATATTAAAGCCGCTGGTCGTAATTTAGATATTTCGGACACTGTCTAAATGTGATCAAATTGATTATACAAAACCAAAACCAAAATTTAAATTTTGTACTCGACTCAAGATGTGCCCCCCCCCCCACACACACACACACCAACAGTGCGAGGAGGACCGGGGCATTTGTCTCATCAACAGCTTTAATTTATGCATTACGGGATTTTAAAAAAATGAATCCATTTTAATTTTTCAAATCAGATGTCTGATTTATAATTCCGTATGTCACCTTATGGTAAGTTTATAAAGGTTCCCTTCAGCTTTGAACGCCTAACGTGCAAGCCACGTACGTGTTTCTGCGCGCATTTTCGCGATTCGTTTTCATTTAAGGGTTTACTCCAGCGAGAAAACGCGCGGGTAAAAATTATCATACTGTCTGTATACCCCTATTAATATCATACGTCTGTATACACGTAAGCAAACATTAATCCTGATAATAACCCGATGTCTGCATACCCCTATTAATATCATACTGTTTGTATACACGTGAGCTAACATTACTCCTGATAATAACCTGATGTCTGTATACCCCTATTAATATCATACTGTCTGTATACACGTGAGCAAACATTAACCCTGATGAAAACTTACCGTCCGTAGAAGCGATAGCCAACATTAAACTCATACAATAACACAAAATTAACATCTTCAGATTTTCTACCAAAACTTGATTCACTGAAAATAGAGAACGGCGAATTAATACAAACGTAGATCAGGGGATTTAGCTATAAATAATATGGGATGTTCTAGATAGATTAAAGATACACTCCCTGTCTGGTGTAACAATACAGGTCGTCGGATTGACTCCAGACCCCAATATCCTGTCTTTCTCGTAATATAATCAATTTAATTGCGTTTCAAATAAACAGAGAGAGAGAGAGAGAGAGAGAGGGGGGACAGAGGAGAGAGAGAGAGAGAGAGAGAGAGAGAGAGAGAGAGATTTTAACTTCACCTTAATATTGTCCGGAATGATGATTAATTGTGCGTAAGTAAAAATGAAAAGAGTGTTTTACTAGATTTGTTTGTAAGAAAAAGTCGACGTTTTTTTTTCGGATTCACATAGGCGCGTCCGAAGTAAACAAAAACGATGTGTTGATACATTTACACCCCAATCATCAGTTAGTAGTCTATCTATACATGGGTTTCAAAAAAAAAGAGTAGCAAGATTAATAAAAATATTATGAATTGATTTCTGTTTCTTTGCTTTTAAACTTAATACAGGTATTTGCGCGAGGGGAGCTAATTTAATTTAGTCACGATTGTCAGGTCTCTCTTTTGCCGCGGCACAGAATTCTAAAGGCTTCGTGGGCGTTGCCTGGCTATCTATACACGGTCCATGGTTTAACGTCCACTCTGGGATTAAGATATGGCTCAGTTTTATTTCAATAATTCGCTTGTGCGTAGGTGTCTTTGAGGAAATCGGAGGACCCGGAGAAAACTCACGAGGTTGGACAGACGAGCCTACCCCTTGTCACGTACAACCGGCGAATAGAAACCACGCAATATAGTTAGACCACCTAAAGCACATTATTAAGAGGAAACTATACCGTGTCCTATATAATATTTTCACATATTGAAATTAAAAATCTTTCTGTCTTTTTTCTGTTTCAGCCTTGTGATTTAACTTCAACCCAAGGCCGCTCATCACATTTTGCATTTCTGGAAACGCAAATGTCACCTACGAAGAGCGACCAATCTGGGTCAAATCCGACCCAAGAGTATAGGGTACAGACATGACCGAACCAAGAAATTTGGGTCCCTTTAACCCAATAATTTTAAGTCATTGCGACCCAAATTTATTGGATTTCCACCTGAATTTATTATTTTTTGGTTCGGTCATGTCTGTACCCTATACTCTTGGGTCGGATTTCACCCATATTTGTTGGGTCGATTCGACCCAATCCTTCTAACAGTGCCGTTGACTCAATGACAGATCTTATGATACAACACACACGCGCTAAATGAACAGACACCAACCTTTATTATACATATTGATAGAATAAATCCCCCAATATTATTACACTGGTGCATCAGTCAAGTGTTCAGATCAGTTGTCCAAATACAATTGTGAAATACAAAATGTGAAATACGAAACCTGTATAGTACATGCGCGTTCGTCTTGACGCTGGGGAAGAAAGTTCCACCGGACTTACCAACGTGGTTTACCCTTGTCGGTTGTGCAGGGCCAAGTCCCCGTGTAAACGTTGATATAGACGGAAAAGAGGTCCCTCGTACACATTGACAGTATTTGCCCGACTTCATAAGCCAGGTCGGCGCAGAAAAGTAGGACGCTAAACGCCATGTCATTATGTCTTTGATCAGAAAGCTTAAATATTTTGGTCGTTCAGAAAACTTAAAAATACATTTTATATAATTCTAAGACTCAGGACTATTTTCAAATCACTAATTAACTTACCAAAAATAAACTAAATAATACCATTTAGATAAATATTTCAACCACAAGAATCCCTTCTGAGAAATAATTCACAACAGTTTCTGAATATTAATAGATGTGAACGAATTTTGATATAAGGACTTTTTTCTTCACTTCAAAGTACACAATCTAGATGTTTGTCCGCCGCACGTGATCAGCCTAATCTATATTTACTTATGAATGAATGTAATAATACACGTCAATAGTGCGTCACCTTTACTGCTATTTTAAAGGCGAAATCCAAATTTTTACTAGTTCTCCACTAATATCATTGCAACTTGACCATAAATTTACGAAAGACATACCTATTTATCTTCAGATATAACAAAGAGTATATTGCCCTATATATATCCTCAAATACCATTGTAAGTATATAGGGGGCTATATATTTTCACAGGGGCAATATAAGTGCCAATTCCAAGATGGCTGCGTTGACGTCATCCTCGGTTACCGGTCCGTGTGGTAGCCTACGCAGTTACTTATTTTTCATGAAATTGATTAATGTAATGATTCAGACAGCTTGCATCAACACATTGTGTTGTATGTTATATCATTTTGTCAGTTAATAATCAATAAAAAAACAACATCATGCAATAGGTGAAAAGGTGATTTTAAAACGAAAGTCAACATTTGCATTTGTCGCCAAGTTCAACAAGGTTTATATTTCTGGTGACGTTTCCAATACTATCAAGATTTCCGGTTGCATGAGAGTCAATAACAACAAGATTATTTCAGAACTTATACATTTTATTTCAATAATTCACGTGCCCATAGGGTTTTGAGCAGTGCCCGTCTTCATTAGCCCAGTCGGAACAGAAGAGTAGGACATGTGTGTGTGAGAGAGAGAGAGAGAGAGAGAGAGAGAGAGAGAGCAACTGACTCAATGACAGATCTTATGATCTAAAGCTCCTGCATTACACCTCTCGGCCACACACGCTAATGTCCAGATTTTATGAAGTAATTTTAATGATGCGCACACACAATGTTTGAAGAGCCTTTAGATTTATCATTGAAATCGTACCATTAATATTGACCACAATACCTCTTCAAGTGGACCAAAGGGCGGACATTATGGACATTGTGGACATGACTGTGTATATTGGTGTATATGTTGGAACATCTAGGTTAAGTTTTATTTTACAACTATTTGCTCTACATTTATATTATAATTCTCACCCGTGACGGTAAATAATGCCCTACATGTGAAAGCACGATGTTTATCAGCAGTGAGAGAAGAGATTTGACTATACAATACTTGAATTGAATAATTAATCTCAATAAAATATCAGTCGTGACGTGTTTATTTGATACAAAACCAGTTAGACCTACAGATAGCTTTATTCAATTTAGTCAGTAGGTTAAGTCAGGAGACGCGGTGGCCCAGTGAGTAAGACGTTGGGTCGCCACACCGGAGGTCCCGTGTTCGATCCCTGTGTTGACCGAGAAAGATCATCAGAATTTCCCCGGCGTGGCTCCCCCTTGTCAGTGATGCAGAGGACGACGTATCTTCGTTTGGATGGGACGAAAAACCGAGTTCCCGTGTACACATTGGCGTGCACTTAAAAGAATCCTTGACAGTTGGAATTCGATATAAGAGTAGGCCGTAGTGCAAAATGTTCTTCATAGCATACTGTAAGACGTATGGCGTATGCAAATGAAATGAAATGAAATGGGGTTTAACGTTCTACTGTTCTGCTTCGACTGGGCTAATGAAGACGGACATACACCATACAGTGTGCTATGAGGGAAATTTGGCGCTACGGCCTACTCTTCTATCGAATTCCAACTACCAAGGGATATTTTACGTGCACGCCAATGTGTACACGGAACCTCGGCTTTTCGCACCATCCGAAAGGCTAGACAGCTAGCGAGCCAGCGTCTTACTCACTAAGCCATCGTGGCACCCAAAGCGGGGAAAAATATAGCCCGTGCCGTATTACATTACTATTTGGATGATTAGGTTCTTTACATAATAGATGCTAAAGGCCAGGCCATATTAAATTACTGTCTACACCGTCGTAATTTTTAAACGGATTTCTACTGAATAATGGTTATTTAAAACGTGCCTATGTGTTTGAAATCATCTTCGGTTAAATAAAATCCAGTGTACATTCCGACGAATAAAAAGGTTCTCTCTTGAAAAGTCAATGTTTTTGTTTGAATTTTCGATAGAGTTCATCAAAACATTGCACATGTCACGTGATGAACGAAACCATCGTAAGATGTTGAAGGGGGATTAAGGTTGACAAAGTTTGACAAACACGTCGATCGCGCGATCTTTTCGATTGTTTAAGTTTGGGCAACAACAATATCAACTGATGACAATAACATTGGAGATTAACTTACAAACAATTGATTATCAGTCTGAATATATCACAGTTTACACGGATACTCGTAAATATAATAATGCTTTTCACACCATCATCACCGCATAATTTTAAATTCCCATTTAAATGCCATTCCCATTTACTGTACATGCCTGTGGCTAACATTTATAAACAAACACACTTTATTTCATAATTTTAATTGTCTATATTTTATAACGGAGTATATTCCCCATGCTATGTGGTTATGAGTCCATTTTCAAAGTTTTATGATCACCGCTACTCCATAATTTCCATATTTAATTTACGTTGCGGGTGTAAGTTCATGTCAATAGGGTAATATTTCCGAATAAATTACGCTTTTGTTTATTCGACAGATACTGAAATCGAAACATTCATGATAAGAAAGCTCAGAATGTCTAAATATCGTTTATCGTCCTTATAAAAATCTATTTTAATAAAAATCACCTGTCAAAAGAGACATCGCAGACTGCGTGTATTATCGGGTCTTGCTTGTTAATTATTCAGACCGAGGGAAGAACTGATGAAAGTTTCGCGCCAAATTTAACAATCTTCAATACATCTGTGTAGTATACAATACTTCTTATGGAATGGGACCTTATACGGTAATAGAATTCAAGCCATTGATTGGCTAAAGCATGATCACGATCTACGAATACCACCTATAAAAGTATTTAACAGATATGTGCAGTTTAGTATATAATATACTATGTGCTTGATATTTGAGTTGTGATTTAGTTAGAATGGCAGAACACTGATTATGAACAATATAAACTGTTTTATTCTGATTCTCTGGGCTCACCGGTTAAATTTGCATGTCAAAATATGAACGACATCTAAACATGTACAATTATTATTTAACCATTAATATGTTTATATTACTTATCCTAATCGCGGTGGCTCAGTGAGTAAGCTGTTGGCTACCTAGCAGGGAGGTCTCGGGTTCGATCCTGGGGTTGGCCGCGAAAGTTCATCGGGATTTTTCGGCGAGGTTTCCAGCGAGGTCAGTGGGACAAAGTATAGTCGTTCGGGTGGGACGCAAAAACCGAGGTCCCATGTACATTTTGGCGTGCACATAAAAGAACCCTTGACAGTTGGAATTCCATATACGAGTCGACCGTAGCGCCGCTGTCCGGACAAAATGTCCCCCATAGCACACTGCATGGCGCCTGTTTGTCTTCATTAGCCCAGTAGACCTACAATATACTTTAATATGTTCTTTTTATAATCGTAACTATTATCGTGGTTTTACAGTAGGACGTTAAACCCCATTTCATTTCAGTTGTCGCAGTTTATTTCTCTGCGGGTTTTCAACGTGCAGTTATATTTTTTATGTTTTATCCGACTAATAAAACAGACCTAGAGTCAGAGTCACGTCATTTATCGACACCTACTGTGAATCCTAGCGGGTTGTCTTTGTGATAAAAATCTTTCTGAGAAAATTAAGTTATAATCCCTATTAACCCCCCATGTATATCAATAATTCTTTATATGTTTTTATTTTTTTAACTTTTAAATGCGTGTTTAATAAATAGAAAAAATAAGTAAATTTGTATATATATCTACTATTTTAATTCATGATAATTGTTGATCTTTTAATATTTTTTTTTTAAAAATGTTTTTATGAATGATTAAAATATAAAAGATAACCGTTTATTTATATCTCTATCGTTTTCCAACAGGCTATTTTTTGACCAAACACTAAAAATATTTAAAAGGAACCAGTTTTAAACACAGTATTTTTACGTATAATTTAACTGGCGTCTAAAAATAACGTTGCTATTTAAAAGTAGCGAAAAAGGAATTGAAATGGGATTTAACTTTCTTCCTTTTTTCCTTTGTACTGGTTTTAAGTTTTCCTCAAATGAACACATGCTTGACAGAATGTGAAATTAGATGAAACGAAATTGAGTTTAACGTCCTACTGTTCTTCACCGACAGGACTAATGAAGACGGACATGCGTTATACAATGTGCTATGGGGGACATTTTGCCCGAACAGCGGCACCACGGCCTACTCTTATATATCGAATTAACATATTATTTACGCGAACGCCAACGTGTACACTTGACCTCAGCTTCTCAGCCCATCCGAATGTACTATCCTTAACAGGCTCCCCGTCTTGCACCACTTTCAGACAGACGTCCCCTCAACATAATCTAGATCATTTCGGGACTAACATATGGGTCATTTTTATTTCAATAATTCGCTAACGGATAAATAGGGTCTACAACAGTGGGAGAAAATCCACGAGCTTAATCAGGTTACCCTACTCCTTGTCACGTACAAGCTGGGAATCGAAACCTCGCCACTTGGCTAAATGACAGACCTTATGATCGAGAGAGCTCTTTTTGACCCCTCCCCCGCCCCTCACCAAAAACCGTCACACACGCTTCACTGAAGGAAATAGCTCTATTTTCTAGCTATCAATTCTTATTTACCGTAAACACTACCCATTCAAAGAAAGCAATAATACTCCGCCGAAATAAACTTTATATAGATCACGCATTTCACTAGAAAAACACATATGACCAAGCCCATACTTTAGATCCTATTACATTAAATAATGTGCATTTGGCAATTTTTTAACACAAAAATGATCTATTGTATTGGGTGCAATGTGTTTTATTATTTTGATGTTTACGATCATAAAGCAGGATAGGAAAAACCTAGGGCGGTGTGACATTTCGACAGCAATACCTTTTATAATTTACAAATGTTTTTTTTTATATTCACTCGAAGGAGATATAATAACATATGATATTGATATAGTGTGTCTCTGTACATTGTATACATTTTATTATTATTTAAATCTATGGCCGAGGGTCACGGTGGCTAAGTGGGTAAGACGCTGGCTCGCTAGTCTGGAGGTCGGGTGTTCGATCCCTGCATTGGCCGAGAAAGTTCGTCCAGATTTTCCGGCGTGGTTCCCCCTTCTTTGTCATTGATGCGGGACGGAGGGCCTGACAGCTGTCTAGTCGTTCGGATGGCACGAATACCGAGGTCCCGTGTACCCATTGGCGTGTACGTAAAAGATCCCTTGACAGTTGGAATTCGATATAAGAATAGGCCGCAGTGCCGCTGTCCTGGCAGAATTTCCCTCATGGCACACTGTATGGCGTATGCCCGTCTTCATTTTCTGCCTATGGCAGACCTTTCTTTAGGCCTTAGATGTTATCTAAATTATTAATTAGACATTAATTAACTTACCAAGACCATAATCAACTATCGATGTCATCGGATGCCTGCGATATTTAGTGGATTTAAATACGTTTTGTGGTGGATGAAATAATCGTAAAAATGGATAATCGAGACTGATTATCTAGGTTCAGAGTGAAGAAATTTGACTGAAATTTTCAGCATATTGTTATTTCCTTATGTATTATAGTGAGAACTGTCAGCTCTTTATCTATTCTTACCTAATGCCTCCTTAGGGTTAAATGAACAATTGACCAATGGCCGAAGACTTTGAACTGTTTGAGTTTATTACGTAATTAACACGTGTTCTTGCAATATCTATATCATTTTGTGTATTTAAACATCTGTTTCCTATGAGCATTTATCAAATATTATTATATAATTATCTTAATCCTAAGCTTGTATATAATTATGTTCTATATTATATATTGTAACTTACGTCTGGTGACCGGCTAGACCTAGCTAGACCTGTTATTGCGACCGTTGGCCAGTCTTGAACACTCATTTATTATAAATACAATTTACCAGAGTTATCGTCGTCGATACGATAGTGTAGGAATTACCCCCCCCCCCCCCCTCACGACGTCAGTATTATGTAAAGTTTGTTTTGTAATATATTATAGATATATTATATGGTATTATGTAAAGCTTTTGGCTAGGGGTTTGTTTGTATTATATATCCCATTTTATTTATTTATCTATTCCTTCTTATATGTGATTGAATTATTGTATATATTAGGCAGTTGGTTGACAAGATAAGCACCCTTGTTGTATAGTGTTCAAGAGTGTTGCAAGAAGATAAAGGGGTATTATATTAAGCATATTTTATATGAATATGGATTTGGTTACGTTTGGCAAGAGCAGGATGTTTTTGATGTAAATGGGTTTTTATCATCATTTAAGCAAAGGCTAATTGATTGCTCACGTCAACAATTATCATGTGATATTAAAGAGACGTCCAGACTACAAAATTATAGCTTGATTAAACACAATGTTAACTATGAACCTTATTTATCCAAGGCATCTGTGACTAAATTTCGACAATCCTTAACTCGTTTTCGATGTTCAAACCATGATTTGGCTGTAGAGACAGGACGCTGGAAGAATGTACCAAAAATTGAAAGAGTCTGTAAATACTGTGATGAAATGCATGATTTAAAACAAACAGAGGATGAAATACATGTTATTGTTTATTGTAAATTGTATGATAATCTAAGAACCAAATTACTTCCAGAAATAGAGAACGAGAGACAACATAAAACAAATAGGGATATTTTTATTAGGGTCATGTCTGACGAAAATAATTATCGAAATTTAGCTATGTTTATTTATCAGTCATATGTTATCCGAAAACAAATTGATAATTGTAAATAGTTATGCTTATTTTGATTTATTATTATATTATATCAACAAATTATGTATACATATTGTCTTTATTACCATTATTATTTATTACTGTTATTTATCTCACATTTACTCACCGCACTTCTTATATGTTGTAAAAATTTATGTACTATGGGCTGGAGGCCTTAAATACTGTGAATAAATAATTAAAAAAAAAAAAAAAATATATTGCAGAGAGAGAGAGAGAGAGGCAGAGAGAGAGAGAGAGAGAGGGGGGGGGTTAAACCCTAGGAGGTTGGGCAAGCGGGGAGTCGAAACCACGCCACCTGACTCAATGACTCAAAATCCAAACATTACGTCATCCCTAATCATCGTTTGGGGAATTGTTAATACCTTGCAGACTACAGTGTTGTAATTCGTTCTGAGCTGATGACTTGAACATTCCGCGACACTCGGCACCCAACATAAATGATATAAACAAACAAGTGCCATCTTTAAATATTGAATGCAAATTCTTTATGGGTATTTCAGTGATCAGCACGCGCACATACGTGTTTTGAGTAAATGTTTTGCAACGAGGAGAAGCAGTAGGAACAAGTACAATTTAACCTTAGTTCACAAACATAATAAAACAATAAAATATATAACTCGTCACCTGTCATCCCATTATCTATATACACCACTCAGGTAAGTATATATATACCTGTAGAAAACCTATATATAACATCAAGTATGTATGTTATACTGTTATCTTCACATATCTATATTTTACTTTTTGGCGCAAATTCTTGAAAGGTACGTCGTACACGAGTCTGTCTTCATAGGCCCAGTCGGTATAGAATAGTTGGACGTTAAACTCCATTTCATTTCATTTTATTAAAGATTAAAAGAATTTCTGTCGTGCTCGTTAATTCCTTGGGTCATGGGCTCAACGTCCGCATCTATCAAGGGGGGTGGGTCGTACTCGTGACTATGTAATCGTTGTTTTCATGTCTGCAAACAGTTATGTTAGTTTCCCACTTTCGTAGGATGTGTCACGACGGGAATTTTTCCTGGGTAGCGACGTGTCCGTCTACTCTTTGTCAAATTCGAATTGTGAAGTGTTCGTTGAAACCCAGGTCTCCAAGTGTTCGCCCTATCACAGGCATTGTCAGAATATAGTTTCTGCACCAAGGGAAAGCGACTCTAGAAAAACCTGCGGAAAATTCTCGGTCAATTAAATGAGGTGAAAACAGTACTTTGGACGTTTCATGAAAGTGGCATCAGATGGTCTAGAAAGAAGACTGTGGCGGATATTCTATATATATATGTACGGCACCCATACGTACCGGTTTACCTGATGGATTTCATATGGCTGGTATGAGATATCACCCAGAGGTTACCGGTCACACTTCTAAAATCCACGCCCAAACTATCACACAAAAGTAGTAACGGAGTTGTTACCTTAAACACGCCATTTCATATCTAACGTATATTTCATGAACTCAGAAAATTAAAATATATCTGTAAGCACAGACACGAGCTAGAAGAGATTTCAATAGCTAAGTATGTTTATGGGTATCTTAGATATTTACAAGTAAGGCAACCCGGATTCACTAAAATTTATATACGTAAATATTTTTCAGAGCGCAATACCGTCACCGGATGAAGGATTGGACGTTCGTACCATTCACTCAAATACCACAAAATCATATTTGATTTGAAACTATAAATGAATAAATTTCGATTGCGGTTTCATTTAAGCTACGTCTACACTAGCAGCATTCACCGTCTACACTAGCCTTTTAAATCCCGGTTTTTTCCTAAAAGCCGGCTTTTTCAATTTCTCAATCGTAAAAGCCGGCTTTTTAAAATTATTGAGGGATTTTTCAAAATCAAAAAGCCGGCTTTTTCAAAAAACCGGCAATTTTATGTGTGTAGACGGTAAATCCGGGATTTATCAAGTACCCGGATGTCATTCGTCCCGAGCTTCCGTACATTCATAACATTGGCATTGCCTCCGGTTCTAAGAAATTGCGGTAAATCTCAAATCCATCTATAGCCTAGCCTATTTAATTTCAACATGCCTAACCTAAAATGGGTTAACGAGGAGTGCTTATTGCTAATTGAGATTTGGGGGCGGGGGAACATTCAAGCTTTGTTTGATGGAACTGTCAAAGACAATAAAATTTACAGGGTTATATGCGCTGAATTAGCCGAAGCTGGCTTCTCTAGTAATCATTATTATTATATTATTATCTCTGCAAAATTGACTGAAGCCGATGGCGTAATAAATAAACCGGAAGTTCCACAAATAAAGAAGGTCGGTGTTCATCGTCTTTTTCCGTTTAGTCAGTGTAGACGCTACACTTGAAAAAGCCGGGTTTTGAAAAAACCGGGTTTTTAAAAAGCCGGCTTTTTCAAGCCTAGTGTAGACGAAGCTATAGCTTCATCAATAGTTTCTTTTTTAAAATCGAGAAATGGGAGACTGTATAATAAACTTTCTAAATATAAATAACAATGCAGTCTTTGAGTGGCCTTGAGAAGCATAAGGTATCGCTTGTCGTAACACGTATTACATGAATCGAGTTGCTGTATATATATAAATGCTTTTTATAAAAACGGACTATACGGGCTTTACAGATGCTTTAATTACAACCAAAAACTTTACACAGTTCAACATCATCAATGCTGCAACAGGAGACCGCATAAATGTTTGTAATGTTATTAAAAATGTCTCATAAAAACCTACACCAGAAATGTTTGCCAAAAGAACATTACATTATTTACATATAAACAATTCAACATCACCAATGTTTATAAATCCCGAAACGGGAGACCACACATACTTTTGTAATGTTATTGTTATTAAAATATGTTCCATAAAAACTGACACCAGAAATGTACAAAAAACATGATATAAATGCCATAAAGCAATGTCGAACGCACGGTTCATGAATAACTCACAGATAATCGCAATGCATTACACACGCCTCAAAGGTAATAGATTGTGAAAGAAGAGTTATAATATAATTTGGCATCTTACCTGAGAATCCACGTAGTAGTTAGTAGCGTATATTAAATAATAGGTTCGTCAGACTATGTGTGTACCTCGTGTATGGTGCAGCTAATCGTGTATAAACTTGCTACTTCCGAATATATACAATAAACTGAGCGTCTCGTGTATGCGCCGAGATGTATATATATCAATCCTATTTTTGTACCTGCGCAAGGCATGTACAGGTGAGAATATATACAATTTAACATCAGGATCTTATATCAAGATTCAACATCACATCAAACACCTTATTGTCTTGTCATCGTTTAAATTTTTATACCACACCTAGCGATTCACCACACTTATTTTGATTTTTTTATGTTATATCATCCAGAATTTTAATCTACTGTAGGCTACGTCTTTTGATCGTATATATTTTTAATCCGTTTTTTTTTATTTTTATTACTATTTCGTATTATGTTATACCAATTAAAGATTTAACTTTCCCTTTTCTTGTTTTTGTTCACGACTATATATATAATGTGTCTTGTTTGATCGTAACATAGTTTTTTTTTCAGAATTACAAAAAATCAAAGAATTCAAAAATCAAAGTATTTGAGTTTATGAAATGAATAAAGGTTTACGGTTACATTTCTCAAGCAACTGGGCTAATGAATACACCATGTGTAGGAGAGACATTTTGTCAGGACAGCGGTGCTTCCACGATCTTGTCGTCGAATTCCAATTTTCAACGTTTGTTTCATGTGCACGCCATTTGAACGACTAGACGGCGTTTCTTGCCAGTCACTCCGTCCTCTACCACTGGCAAAGGGGAAACCACACTGGTGAATCTAAACGAACTTTCTCGACCACAGCCCCGAGTTCACAAAGCATTCTAAGACTTAGGTTAAGAATTAACTCAAAATTGTTCGCCTTATTTTAACTAAACTATAGCCCTTTATAAAACTGTTGTTGTTTTAATGTATCAAATACATCAATAAGAAACTATGTGCAAAGTTTTGTCTTTCTGGATAAAATATATATCTCATAAACAGTGATTGAAAATTGAGTAAATTCTTAACTTAAGTCTGAGAATGCTTTGTGAACACGGTGCCGTCCTCGGGTTTAGTTAGCCAACGTCTGGCTTCCCGAGCTACCACGGGCCCCGTACACTTACCTCAATGGGGAATTTATTCCAATTAACTCTTTTTAACACGGTATTAAACAATGAAAACATCTGATTTTGGATTGCTGAACTTCTGCTGAACTATTACTCGGATATCAATGACATATTAGCTCTCTAAGTATAACTATGATAGGATTTACTACGATATCAATGAAATGATATTAGCTCTCTTAGTAGAACTATGATAGGATTCAAGTCCTTATCTTTCCTAGTAGACACGTGCTATAAACACCCTATGCAGCCTAATCCAAAACATGTGTCGGTCATATCACATTTCAGATACACCATGACTCTCCGGTTTCATTACCGGTAATTCTGAAGTAAAAGCAAATTAATCTTACCCAGAACGTCTTGTAGTAGATAGTAGTCGTTTGGTTACTGGACACAGGAATACACAGGTTTAACAGTAAGAAGGAATGTTTATATGTTATTGTAGTGATTAGGTTGATATCACGCTCAATATATCTATGTTTATATAACAATCTCGACAGAATATATATGAATTTGCACATTTACAGTGGGTGTTTTAAATTCTATGCCAATCAGATTGCATGACTAGGCTATATAACATCAACTGTAGAGATAATGTTTTTGAAATAGATGTCATTTATGACTAGACTATACTATCAAACATCACACTAATGAACAAAACAAATTGCGAGCTAGATAAGGATTGAATATTATGTAAAATATGTAATGTTTGTCCGCTTGAAAGCCAAACAACAGATCTGTTGTTTTTTTAGTTGTTTATGAAGTGAAATGAAATGGAATGGGGTTTAACGCTCTACTGTTCTGCTCTGACTGTATACGCCATACAGTGTTCAATATGAGGGAAATTTTTCCCGGACATTGGCACTACTCTTATATCGAATTCCGACCCAAAGGGATCTTTTACGTGCACGCTAATGTGTACAAGGAACCCCAGTTTTTCGTCCCATCCGAACGACTAGACAGCTATCCTTGTCAGGCCCTCCTTCCTGCACCACTGCCAGGGGGAAATAATGCTGGAAAAATATCGATGAACTTTTTCGGCCAACACCGGACTGATCCCGGGACCTCCAGGCTAGCGAACCAGCGCCTTCTCACTAGCTACCGTGCCTTCTAGTTGTTTATGTGTAAATGGAGAAGGGAATAACAATTCTGTTTGCAGGGCCCGGTTCCTAGAAAATTCTTAAGCACGTTCTTGTGCTTAGATTTAAGTAGACTTTGCATTTAAGTAAACTTACCTTATTTTGTGTTCCCAGAAAATTCTTAAGAACGTTCTTGTGCTTAGATTTTAAGTAGACTTCATTGTAAGCACAAGAACGCTATTATGCGTTCCAAGAAAAAACTTAAGCACAACTTCGTTCTTAAACATAGATAATCTAAGCACAAGTCCCAAGCAAGGTATACGGCTGGCTTACCAACCGTAAGTCTGTTTCTGCTTCAAAAAGATGGCTGACCGTAGAGTTATTCGACGGCATTTCCGACACCTTTTTATACCAAAGAGACAATTACAAGACAGAGAAAAACCTTCTCCAGAAGAAATTTCAAATTAAGAATGCTATAGAAAATTTCGCTTCTAGGCCTACCCTGAAACCATTTTATTTAGGCCTATTTGCCAATTAGTGAGAGAGAGAGAGAGTGTGAGAGAGAGAGAGAGAGAGAGAGAGAGAAATGGGGTTTAACGTCCACTCGACACAAACTAGGTCATTTCGGGACTAACATTTGGTTTAATTTTATTTACATAATTCGCTTGCGCGTAGGGGTCTTTAGCAGTGGGAGGAAACCGGAGGACCCGGAGAAAACCCACGAGGTTGGACAGGCGACTTGGCAATTAGTAAACAATAGGCTACAAATACACAGGCTACTTTAAGATCAGGCGCTCTCACAATTATTCAGTTAGTTTGTATGTGTCTGCGTTTTTTTATCTTGTGGCACATGCATCGAAATGAACCATATATATATATATATGACGTCAATGAAGCAGACGACAAATTTAAGACGTAATTCGCATACCAAAGTTGTTTTTATGACGTTAAAGAGCATCGTAGTCTCAGTTTATGGTAAACTTTACCAGTCACAATGTGCTTAGACTTATACTTGACTTGTGCTTTCGTAAGAATGGTCTGGAGAATTTTCTAGGGACGGTATTTTTGTAAGTTTCTTACGTAAGAAAAAGTGAAGCATGACATTGTGCTTACTTTAAGAATTTTCTAGGAACCGGGCCCTGAGCTCATTATATCAGGAATAACTTCATTCACGAGAGTCGTGTGAATTTAAAGATCAGATATAGGGATGGTCGGTCTTGGTATAGGTATAGTTCGAAAATAGATAATGAAAATGGATATAATGTAGAGTTCATTCAAATTATCTCGTTTCTGGGCGAATTTATCAGGCTTTGAAGTGTTCACAATATAGTAGGGTCGCCTTCCAACTTAGTGAGTTTTCTCCCGGTCCTCCGGTTTCCTACTACTGCTAAAGACCCCTACGCGCAAGCGAATTATTGAAAAATAAATTGAATCATATGTTAGTGTGCTGACGTATTCCAATACCTAGCGCCCGACCAGGCTATCCTGCAACGCGTGGCTACAGGGCTGCCAAAATTGGGGAAAATTAGAAACTGCACTTATATGCAAGAAAATTGGAATTTGAAATAAGAGTAGGTCGGAATACAGCTGCCCGGGCATCGTTTCCATCACAACACAGTGTATGGTGTATGCCCATCTTCATTAACCCAGCCGGGGCAGAACAATAGGACATAAAACCCCATTTCATTCCTCCACGTAAATAATAAATGATAATCAGAACGATCCAGAATTTAATGACAGATGAATTTAATATTACTAGTGTGGGATCCGACCAAGAAGTCCGCTTGTTTAGGGCCCGTAATACAATGACCTCCGACCTTTAGATTGGTAAAGGTCCAATTAGACATCATGCCACCATGCGCTGACCCATTTATCTCATTATGAAGACTATCATGCATCGGTTGCGAATCGACGGTCCAGTTGTCAAAATGGATATTAGAAACACTTCCAGTTACGTCATCCTTCATGGTGTAGTAAATTAACCTGGGACACGAACCTTCAACCCGGATGTTCGACATTACGATGTCACTTACTTTAAATTGTCGAACATGGCCGCCGATATTAAAAACTGCGGCATTAGCAGCTAGTTTACAGTTACTACCGTGGAAGTTACACAGATCCACGTGGATGACGTCAACGTTTTTGATCGAAACGTTATGCACATCACGTGTGTGCGTCCAGCCCATCTGGAAAACAGCACCATTTTGAGCCAACCATACCACACACCGTTCCACCACCATACGACTCGTGTATACCTGTATAAAACCAACTATAATAAACTCATGCAGATTATTACATTTATTCGATGGTCTAATAAACCCCTGAGATTTAATGCGTTCTTACGGCTGTAAAGGGTTATACTGTGGCATTCTTTTTGTCGTGACATCTACCAGACACTGTTATTATTAGACTCTGAAATAACTACTTGGGGAATTTAGAGATCCAGTCGAGAACCGCTGTATCTCATTAAGAAAGGTGCTGGCTCGCTAACCAGGAGGTCCGGGATACGGTTCCGGTATTGGGCCCGAGTGTGGGGTAGCAAGGAGGACGTCCAGACAAGGAAAAGCTGCTTCTAAAATCGGTGAAAAGAAGCGTAATACGATAAGGTTAGCATTGATATTGACAGCACTGCAACATTTTCCGAGAATAGACGCTGCCATCAAACGACCCCCTTGTGTTTCTTTGATAATGCAGGTTTTTAATGCATCTCATAGATATATATTCGTCAATGGTCGTTGTGGAGAGGGGGTGGTGTTTATTTAATGGCGATTCATTAAATAAATGCACCGCGCCTTAAATAGACCATCATCACTGACAAACGTAATAGTCTTACCCTAAATTCAACGCATAAGGCGGACGACAATGGTCGTTATGGAGAAGTGGTGGTGTTTAAATAGTTAATGGGGATCCTTTAAATAAATGCACCTCGCCTTAAACTGGCCATCATCACTGACAAACGTAATATTCTTACCCTAAATCAAATCCAAGACATGAGGCGGACGACTATATATTAAGTTTTCATGTGCCCGTATTATAGCGTATATTGTACAACACCACGCCTTGTTGTTTAACGCGCAATACATTATTCATGCTCGTCTTCAATTGACCTTAAACACCATTTCATCCAGTCATTTTTTTGTGTTACTATAGACGGGTGGATTTTAATTAACATTATTTACATATGAAGCAGGCATAAACAGGGTAAAACATAAAAAGGGTAAAACATGAAAAGGGTTAAACATAAAACGGGTAAAATCTAAACTAGGTAAAACATAAACAGGTTAAAACATAAAAGTGGTGATACATAAAAACGGTCAAACATGAAAAGGGTTAAATATAAAATGGGTAAAATCAAAACTGGGTAAAACATAAATAGGTTAAAACATAAAAAGGGTAAAAACATAAAAAAACCGGTAAAACATAAAAAAAAGGTGAAACATAAAAGGGGGAAAATATAAACCTAACCTAACAATACTATAAATATAAGTTTAAATAGAGATCACCTTAAAGGCATCGTCATTAGCCCAAATAAACGTATCTAACACAACACCATCATGCCCCATACCAACACCATCAGAGTTGAACGCCCAGGGAGCGATCATCTTCACGTTACGGACAGTGTTGTGATCACCCAAGCCCTGAAAATAAAACTCCTCGGGATCCACCATTGTTATACCTTCTAGCACGTGATGATTGCCTTTATCCATGGTCACCATCCCGTAGGCGAATCGATGATCGTGCCATTTGTAGGTTTGCGTGGATAAAATACCGCGGCCTCGAATGGTAACAGGATGTTGTCCACTGGTTATAAAACCACCTTCTACCCATGCACCAGGAGCCAAGTAAACAGTCTTAATCTTACTATCAAGATGAAGCTGACCATTCAAGTTGTGGACACCAGCTTTGTAATACAACACAGAACTATCGTGCTCATCGGGTACATTTGTTTCTGGGGGGTCGGCAAACACTAAAAGTTTATCCTTAATATCATCATCATTTGTCGTTCCATAATCATTGTCAAATTCTATGGACATCATCCGACTCGTTTCACTAACGGTAATTTGGGCCTTTTTAGGTCCCATCCTTTTACAAGCGTATCCATAACTTTTAGGTCTTACGATGCAGTTCTTGAAATCAGTTGGTGCGTGAATCTCAACGGTTACTGGTCCACCAGTAAACGCAAAGGATGTCCACGAAACAGATCGCCCGGCTGTAACATGAGGTGCTTGTTTAGCACGAATATCGGACGTAGCTATGTACGTGACACTTGCCTGTCGGTGATTGCCTTGGCTTACGAACACTTGAAATTTGTTCGATGGATTAACACCCTGGGGTGACGGATAAATAATAACATTACCGTAAATGGGCTGAAAAGCTAGCACCAAGATTATTAAAACCAAACAAGGTGCTGTTGGTGCCATGTTGATTAAATGAGTTTCTTCAGGTTTTCCTGAGAATTAAATACCTACCCCGGCTGTCTTGAAGGTCGGAATACAGATAAGAAGAATATCATGTGACAAACATATGTACTGACTTTACATAACAAACATGCAAATAGATAACACAATAGTGAGTGTATGGATAAGTAGATCGCCATACAGGTGGACTGGTCAAATTTTAGGTAGCTAGAATATAATACTCTCAACTGCAACTGAAAATCTCCGTTTAGCAATTGGTTCACATTTTATTTTGTATCGTTTATTTTTACAATTAAAGTTTTGTTTCTAATATATTTTGTTTCGGTTATTAAAATAAAAGTACAGTTTGGTCTGGTTTATTAAAATTAGATCCCATACCGTCTCTTCTTACCATAGGCGTACGAGCTCGATTAATGTTGAGGGGTGGGGGGCAGATCCTGAAATGCCCTAAAAAAAATTCTGCGAGAGGCGAAGGAACGGGCAAATGAGTTTTTCTGCTATCCTGGCCCGTGAATTGAGCAATAGAAATCCAACTCTATGCCGACCTGAATTCCAACCATCCAATCAGTCTGATGCAGCTGCATTCACAAATAATAATCGATGCCCGAAAAATGTCGCTCAAAGAAGAGTGGCTCCAGACAAAATGTTTTAATCCATAGTGAATTCAGTACAAATTTGTGGTATTTAATTAGAAGAAAAGTACAATTAGTGTTTTATTAGATTTCGGACACTCTTGTTGCCAACTAGATGAAATAATTTTTATTTTCACTTCACCCATTTGCCCGAAAAGTCAGATTGCCCGTCAGTCTCTAAAAGCTGATGAAGTTCATCTGTTTCCATACAAGCATCGTTATTAGGGCTTTGATATTAACATCTACAAATAGAGAGCGTAATGAATGAAGTGGCGTTCCTGAATCGATTTTTTTATATCATATTGTTATCCAATTGGGAAAAGTGGGAAGATCCCTTTAATTACAAATTCTCACTCGCATAGCTACACATTAAACACATTTATTATACACGTACAACAATGATGAAAGATCCCCCCCCCCCACACACACACACACACACGTGTATCAGGTTTGTAAATAGAGACTTTTGGCAAGCGTAAATTCCTGCTCCGTATCGCGTATCCGTATAGACTTTGCGTGTGACGTCATCAATGTGTGTGTATTTCTCATACGTGGTGTGGCACACGGATACGGCAGCACGTATTGAACAACATTACTTTCACACGGAAAAGGTTCGTATAACATCGTCGATACGGATACATGATGCGGATGTGAAAAACTTCCTTTGCCAAAAGTCCCTAATATAGATCCCGCACACACGTGTCACAAATTTGTAAATACGTTGCAGGGATAGGCCACATGTCACAAGTTTGTAAATACGTTGCAAGGATAGGCCAGATCCCGCACACACGTGGAGCAGGTTTGTAAACCTACGTTCTGCACCCATGAATAACTAACTGACTAGCATGCCGTTATTGTGGCTCACCTATGATTAGGTGACCCACCATAAATAAATATCTCCATATATCTCGACAATTTCGCCACAATATTTATATATATGCCAAGCCTCAAATCAGTTTCACACCATTATAGTCACTAAATAAACGATCATGTTGTACTTAATAAGCTATGACCATTAATCATCTATAAATAATAGACTGAAAACTGGTTCCACGTGTCGTCCATAACATCCAGACTAGTGATTGTATCCCATAAAAACTGTGTTCTGTTAACATCCAGACACTTTTGAGTAAAAGATAGGTTACGTGCCCTTGTTTTGAAATTAGTCTGGCTTAACCAGTCTATCGACCATTCTAGGGCTGATTGACAGGTCGGGATAATCAAGACTACTCTTTTACGAAACATAACAGAAAGCTAGAACAAGAAATTGAATTTAGAAATGAGCACGTTAGCTAGCTCAACAATTGTTTTAAGAAGCTTGTAAAAGTAAAATGAAACTACTGCTAGTATCATGTTCCTGTCTAACCCGAGTGTTTCAGAGATATTATTTGTACTAAACCAAAAGATGCCGCTCTTAACGGTACAGTTAATGATAAAGCGATTTAAAAAATGAAACGAACGTAATTTCTAAATCTGCTGTAATAACCAAGAAGCTTAATTTTACTGCTATTCAAAATCGTCAACAATAAATTTTTTACGGCTGTAATATACTATTCAAAAAAAGTAGGGGATATTTGATTTTGGGGGCATAATACTAAAATATGCAAATGACTACGAAAAAAGTCACTATAGAACCTAACAGAAGAAACATTTCCAGTTACATGTGACGCCCAAACGCACCAATAGCTACCGCATGGAATGCAGGTGATGCTTGGGATCATCATGGGGGTCCAACCCAAGATTTGCACGACTCTGACTTTGAATGTTACAGTCATTGTGGCATTGAATTCCAGGGTGGAAACATCAGTTTAATTGTTTTAGTGACCAGAAAACAAATTTTGATATGCGTCGGCTTACCCAAAATGAAAGGTTACGTGCCCTTGGCATGCTACAGATCGGCACAACACAGGCGGTTGTGGCGCGGACGATGAATGTTTCTCAGTCTGTCATAAGCAGGCTATGGTCCAGATACCGTGATACACAATCTGTACAGGACAGACCACGCTCAGGTCGACCAAGGGCGACAACTCAAGCCCAGGATCGATTTATCCGTACCTTGGCCTTGAGAAATCGTGTCATCACAGCAAATCAGATCAGCGCTCGTCTTCAAACAGACACTGGTGTGAGAGTGAGTGGCCAGACGATTCGGAATCGACTGCATAGGGGTCACCTTCGCGCCCGACGTCCTCGCGTGATCCCTTGTTTGAGAGATCATCACATTCAGGCAAGACGTCGTTGGTGTAGGGATCGTCAACACTGGGATAATCGACGCTGGAGCAATGTGATGTTTTCAGATGAGTCAAGGTTCACTGTTGATTTTTTGGACAGACGTAGGAGGGTGTGGCGTCGTCGAAACGAGCGCTTCCAAGACGTTAACGTCATCAGACATGATCGATTTGGGGGTGGTTCTGTTATGGTGTGGGGAGGCATCACTGTTGCTGGAAGAACGGCTTTACATGTTGTTGCAGGGCGTGTTACAGGCCAGTACTACCGGGACAACATCTTGGCAGTCCATGTTGTGCCGTTGGCACGACGTCATGGCCGCCGTTTCATCTTCCAGGATGACAACGCAAGATGTCACAGGGCCAGGATCGTTACAGGTTACCTCCAACAACAGAACATCACCACATTACCTTGGCCAGCACTGAGTCCCGACCTCTCCCCCATCGAGCATGTCTGGGACATGCTTGGACAGAGGTTACGTCAACGTCAACAACGTCCTGCCAATGTCCAAGAACTTGCTGCTGCGTTGCAACAGGAATGGGACAATCTGGACCAAAATGACCTTAGACGTCTCATTAGGAGTATGCCACGTCGGATCAATGCTTGTTTGGCAAACAGAGGAGGATTTACCCGTTACTGACTTGGTTGTGATGCTGTGGTAACTTTGCTGTTTGACCCCGGGTATCATTTTACCCTTATAATGGTCAGTCTGTGCCTTACTTAGTCTAACGATCATTTGGAATAAATCGATGAATGTGAACTTCATTTCATTTTGTCATTTGTTTCTTCGTCAGTTTCATTAGGTGACTTTAATAACACTTAAAAATCAAATATCCCCTACTTTTTTTGAATAGTATAGTTGATAGATTTGTAGAGAATTGCACGTGCCATGGCTATTTATAGTATCATACTGTCAGAAAGTTGGCCTCGACACGGCGAATGTGCACGCTTCAGTGGTAGTCTCGAACTATCAGCGGGTGACTGTATTTCTGTAGGGTCATGGGTCACCCTACCTATGATAATAGTATCTACACAGTAGATTACCGACGAAATCCAGCATCTTTTAACTGCTTTTCCGATGGCGGCAGAGGAATTCGCTCGTGAAAACGTCTTGGACACTCTGAAATCGTAAGTGACCTCCGTGGTGGTCTAAATAATCTTTTTCATAATCATACCCAAACACATCCTTTCAAATATACCAGCCTTTGTTAGGCACTGTTTGATTGGTCGAATAAAAGCGAAATGATAGAACGATTCGACATATTCAATCAGTGCACTTTTTGGTCTGTTCAACTGAACTGACCATCGCGTTTTGTCAAGAATGTGGATTTTTTTCTGAACCGTGCGTCATGTCTTCCCAGAACGACGACGACTTCTCCTCGTTCTCGTTTTCGGAACGCATCTGAACCTCTCTATTATTATTATGAGAGACACGGCTTGAAGGTTTGATTTAAGGTTTGTTTTTGTTAAGATTATTAGGGTTTCACACTGCGTAGCCATTGTTTTTGTTAAGATTATTCCTATTATTATTTTTTTTTTTTCCAATTTGATTGTATCTCAGAAACTAAATGTCAGATCGATACGAGTTCTTCGGTTTGAATGGGAAAGTGGGTGTGACTTAGAGATTAAAGCTATTTTGGGCATTCTGTGATAATGCGAAATGTCCGAAATCACCGAAGTTGTCGTTTTTTTAAAAAAATGACGTAGTATTAACAATAATCATCGAATTTTAACATATGCATTTTAACATAGCCAGAGACCAGGCACATAGCTGTGCTACTTTTGATTTTTGATTGTCGACGAATCTTCGTAGATATTAAGCTCCAAATTTCGAAAATTTAAAATTTTACAAAAAACTTTTTTATTTATGAATTTTTTAAATGGCATTTTAACCAGGGTTGAAGTGTTATCCGATTTGACTAAAAATGTCAACATTTTTTGTGTCCGTAATTTTCCTTGGCCGCCATTGGCTAATTCAGTTTTTCAGTCCTAGATTAATTATTTATTATTCGATTTGTACAAAAGAAAGTTAATATGCTGCGTGGTCCAAAATGTCATTTTTTTTGTTACCGGTAAAGATTCGTGTCGGCACCGGAAGTGAAGTAAAATCAGCAAAAACTACAATTTTGAGAGATTTTGACAGTTCGGTACAACTTTTTGAAAGCAAATATTATTTTTTCAAAATTTGATATT